TTTAGACTTTGATACTATAACTTATTTGACTCCCTATACCGACCCCCCTTGTTTCACATTGGAGGCTCATGTTAAAAATCCTCCTACACTCAATATATTGTTTCCAAAAACTGACACACGCGGCCGGTTCCATCCCCACTGGAGAAGGTCACGTGTGTCTAACGGTTTGTCCCAGTGTTTAGAAATACGGCTTATCTAGAGTGAGAGGTCTTGAGATTTGTTGATCACGCTGGAGATACATTTTTTAGTTCAACACAACATAAGCATTAAGGTTTGCGTAAGGGATAGAGGAAAAAAATATTTGGTTTATAAGATGGTCGTTTGGCCTTTGGATTTGGATATGAAGGTGTACCACTCGCTTTAGAAGGGAGGTGACCTAAATCATACTGAGCTAAGTTCAAAGCTCACATGCGTGCACATTCCAACTCTGCTCGGCATGATATGGCACGTGTACGAGCATGGGCTAGGGTCAGGTTTGAGTTTTGGTACTAGTTTAGGTCCTCTGTCTTGCATATATCTTTTTTGAAGAAAAGTTAAATATTTTCTGGAACAAAATGTAATTAATCAATTTATTGGATATTGAATGAATTACTTACAATGGTCTTTTATATTCCAACCTTTAGTTGAATGCGTAGGATTTTTCTGAATTAATCGACATCTGTTGGTGTAACAATTTAGATACTATTTTTTCGATTACAAAAATATGATATTGAGTTCATTGAAACTCTTACTGATTTCTGTGTTGTTTTTATAATAGATGAAATTCATTTTATCATGAGAGATGATTGCAGATTACTTTTTAAGTACCATGAAAGAGAGAACAAAACTATTGTTTGATGTTAAATTCAATATACTATGTGAAAAATATAACATGTATAAACCTGTAAAAACAAAATACTATCTAGAAGCTTAGAACATTTCAATTATTTTTCCAAATATTACTATCTAAGATGCTCATGCAGGGATAAAGCTGTCATTATTTATCATTGTTGCGACTGCCAAAGTAAGGAAAGTCACACTACTGAAAATAGAGAACCAAATTGCCCTATTTCTTTCACCTGTTTGGAACTCCAATAGAGAGTTAATGCTTAAAAATGAGCTTTAAAAGACTTTCTATTTTAAGGTCCATTTGTTTGAATTTCATTTTTTACTTTTCAATTTATTTTTAGGACATGCTTGATTGCACAAATTTTCCATGAAAATAGGAAATTAAATTTCGTTCCCCACCTTTTTACATGTTTGATTGGTCAAATTTTCTTGGCAATTAGTTTTTTTGGCAACACTCCATTTTCCACCTTTTTGAGGAATTAGTTTTCCCATGAGTTCGGTGATTTTTGGTTTTCCAGGTTCTTCTTCTTTTTTTTTTTTTTAGCAATTAAAATAAATTATATCTTTTTAATTGACAATTTTCATGGAAAACAAAGCCAAACGAACACTAAAAGGTCCAAAATTTTAATATTTTCTAAGTGAAAAATTATATCAATCAAATACATAATTGACAATTCCCAATAAAACAAGTTCTAGGCAATTTAATTCCCTACAATTCGTTTTTTCTACCTAAATTTCATTCTTGCAATCAAACAGACATTTAGTTTTTCTATTTTGATAAACTGTTTTAAGATTACTAAAAACGCGTTTGGTTTGTCATTTTCAAAAATTGTTTCTCAAAATAAAGAACTAGAAAACGTGTTAGGTTTGAAATTTTGAAAAATTATTTTACAACATTTTATTCTATGAAATTTGATTATTCAATAAAAATAGAACCATTTTATGTTAATATATTATGAAGTAATATATACATTTTAACAGTTTTATTAAATTTTTTTATTTGTAAGAATTTTAATTTTTTAAATTTTATTTAAATGATTGTTTTCCATAGTTTGAGTGTTTTCTATGAAAATACACTCAAAACGTCAAAAATACGTTATGAGTTTCATGTTATAAGTTTATTCTTGTTTTTAAAAAAATGCATTTTCAAAAATATCAAAACCAAACACGTTTTCAACGTTTTATAAAACTGAAAATAGTTTGAAAACAGTATACCAAACGCACTCTTAACTATTTAAAATAAATGGTGGATTTGACTCTCTAACTTTAGAAAGCCAAATTCATTCTCTATTTTTAATGGCAATGATTGCATTTAATAAATCACACATTTTAATACTCCATTTTTCAAACTATTCAAACCGCATTTAAATTGATTGGTCAATTGTCGTGTAAAAATCATGTTAAAAAAAATGAACAAAAATTAATAAATATTCTTGTTTTCAATGAAAATATACTCAAAATGTCATAAATACGTTTAGAGTTTCATGTTATAAGTTTATTCTTATTTTAGAAAATGTATTTTCAGGAATACCAGACCAAACACGTTTTCATTGTTTTACAAAGCTGAAAATAGCTTGAAAACGGTACAACAAACGCGCTCTTAGCTTTTTAAAATAGAGAATGGATTTGACTCTCTAAATTTAAAATGTCAAATTCATTCTTTATTCTTAATGACAATGATTGAATTTAATAATTAACATATTTTAATACTCTACTTGTTAAACTATTCAAATCACGTTTAAATTGATTGATCAATCGTCGCATAAAAAATTATGTTAAATAAAAATGAAAAGAAATTAATAAATATTTCTTAAAGAAAAGGCAAAACAAATAATCAAAATAGAGATCTCGCTAGAATGTATAAAAATTTCAACTCTTTAAATTTAAAAATGCTGCTATTTATAAATAAAAAGATTCTTGGAGATGTTCTTAATAAATGCTCTTTTATAAATAGATAATATCCTAGAAATAAACTAGTTCAAATTTTAGAAAGGATAAAAAAAAGTTTTTTTTAAAAAAAAAAAAAAAACATATTTTCCACTTCAATTAATGAAAAACAGATAAACAAAATTAATTTCCCCACACCTGTTGTTTTATGTTTAATGAACCAATCGCAATCTCGATGATTAGCGAGGTTCTAATTTGTTATGAAAAACGTACAGCACCCAATTTTTCAGAAAGGTAGGTATTTGAATATCCTTCATTTCAAAAAAAAAAAAAAAAACATATTTTCCACTTCAATTAATGAAAAACAGATAAACAAAATTAATTTCCCCACACCTGTTGTTTTATGTTTAATGAACCAATCGCAATCTCGATGATTAGCGAGGTTCTAATTTGTTATGAAAAACGTACAGCACCCAATTTTTCAGAAAGGTAGGTATTTGAATATCCTTCATTTCAAATCAAAGTAACCAGGGCCCGGGGCATTGATCGACACAAGATATTTTGAAATTGGTCTCTTTCGTTATATCATGGAATCAAATGTGTACACCTCTCAAATTGTTTAATACTGAATTCTGAATAGTCACAAAATGCTCGAAACTTTCAACTTGCGTGCCAAACATTCAAAATGTTCCTGTAACATTGGAAGGTACAAGTTTTGAATCACAGTTCATTGAAAATTATGAGGATTCTCATTGCAGGGTTGAAAGAAAACTCATATAATTTCAGCCTAAAGAACAAGAGATTGATATTGGCGAAAAATGCCTGCTGTCAACACAAATCATGCCCCCTCTGGCTGGACAAATGGATTGGCAATCTCGTCTGTTCCTTCAGTGGGGGAGACGAGCATCACAGCAGTCCCTCTACAAACCTGCAACAGAAGAATCAAACGTTACAATAAGAAAAACACAAATTTCTACATCATCACAATTTTTACTTCAGCGCAACTTAAATGTAGATCACCATTCATACGCAATAAAATGGCTTGGACCAGCATAAAAACCAAGAACAGTTTTCATGTCAGATGGATATTAAACCAAAACGGTGGACACCCCTAACCAAGTGAAGTTGTAGCAAAAAAAATTAAGAACGTTGAAGTGTCAAAAGTTGTAGATCACAAAATTTGACAGCGTTTCAAAAATATCAAAACCAAACACGTTTTCAACGTTTTATAAAACTGAAAATAGTTTGAAAACAGTATACCAAACGCACTCTTAACTATTTAAAATAAATGGTGGATTTGACTCTCTAACTTTAGAAAGCCAAATTCATTCTCTATTTTTAATGGCAATGATTGCATTTAATAAATCACACATTTTAATACTCCATTTTTCAAACTATTCAAACCGCATTTAAATTGATTGGTCAATTGTCGTGTAAAAATCATGTTAAAAAAATATACTCAAAATGTCATAAATACGTTTAGAGTTTCATGTTATAAGTTTATTCTTGTTTTAGAAAATGTATTTTCAGGAATACCAGACCAAACACGTTTTCATTGTTTTACAAAGCTGAAAATAGCTTGAAAACGGTACAACAAACGCGCTCTTAGCTTTTTAAAATAGAGAATGGATTTGACTCTCTAAATTTAAAATGTCAAATTCATTCTTTATTCTTAATGACAATGATTGAATTTAATAATTAACATATTTTAATACTCTACTTGTTAAACTATTCAAATCACGTTTAAATTGATTGATCAATCGTCGCATAAAAAATTATGTTAAATAAAAATGAAAAGAAATTAATAAATATTTCTTAAAGAAAAGGCAAAACAAATAATCAAAATAGAGATCTCGCTAGAATGTATAAAAATTTCAACTCTTTAAATTTAAAAATGCTGCTATTTATAAATAAAAAGATTCTTGGAGATGTTCTTAATAAATGCTCTTTTATAAATAGATAATATCCTAGAAATAAACTAGTTCAAATTTTAGAAAGGATAAAAAAAAGTTTTTTTTAAAAAAAAAAAAAAAACATATTTTCCACTTCAATTAATGAAAAACAGATAAACAAAATTAATTTCCCCACACCTGTTGTTTTATGTTTAATGAACCAATCGCAATCTCGATGATTAGCGAGGTTCTAATTTGTTATGAAAAACGTACAGCACCCAATTTTTCAGAAAGGTAGGTATTTGAATATCCTTCATTTCAAATCAAAGTAACCAGGGCCCGGGGCATTGATCGACACAAGATATTTTGAAATTGGTCTCTTTCGTTATATCATGGAATCAAATGTGTACACCTCTCAAATTGTTTAATACTGAATTCTGAATAGTCACAAAATGCTCGAAACTTTCAACTTGCGTGCCAAACATTCAAAATGTTCCTGTAACATTGGAAGGTACAAGTTTTGAATCACAGTTCATTGAAAATTATGAGGATTCTCATTGCAGGGTTGAAAGAAAACTCATATAATTTCAGCCTAAAGAACAAGAGATTGATATTGGCGAAAAATGCCTGCTGTCAACACAAATCATGCCCCCTCTGGCTGGACAAATGGATTGGCAATCTCGTCTGTTCCTTCAGTGGGGGAGACGAGCATCACAGCAGTCCCTCTACAAACCTGCAACAGAAGAATCAAACGTTACAATAAGAAAAACACAAATTTCTACATCATCACAATTTTTACTTCAGCGCAACTTAAATGTAGATCACCATTCATACGCAATAAAATGGCTTGGACCAGCATAAAAACCAAGAACAGTTTTCATGTCAGATGGATATTAAACCAAAACGGTGGACACCCCTAACCAAGTGAAGTTGTAGCAAAAAAAATTAAGAACGTTGAAGTGTCAAAAGTTGTAGATCACAAAATTTGACAGCGGCGTACATCGCCAAAGGACTAATTTGACTAGATATCAGTGTCCATAAAATAAATGGACCTCACAATATCAGAGATCCAACAACAGAAAACTGTGTGAGGACTTGATCATCTTCCAAATAATTCATCCCATGATTAAATGATATCCTAACTTGCAATAGTTGAACCAAAACTGATGAGATTCTTGGTACAAGAGCCAACAAGAACAAGGAACCTTTGATCGTGAAGGAAGAACCAATGACTAGGTCATGAAGAAAGAAGGTCAAAGAAATCATGGGATTACTTGTTCAAGTTACGGTAGATGAAAGGACAAATTTCACATTAGGCTTGAAAGACGGAACAAAATGGGTCAACTTGGTTCAAGCAGCGGAGGAGGGAGCTGAAGCGAATAACTATGCAACCGCATAGTGTATCTAGGTATGCAGCCGCATAGCCCCTCCCCAAGACCAACATGGAGGCTGTTGAATGGCCTATGCGACCGCAAGAATTAAACCTATGCTGACGCATAGTAGTATAGTACAATATTAGGACGTGAATTTTTCAAATCTCGCCTAGACAAATTAAAACTCTTTTTATGGTATCTTTTTCATATCTTTTAGGCTTAATTCCCTTTTCAATTAGGTTTTTATGAGTTCCCTATAAATAGGACTCATTCTCTTCAATGTAAAACCCATAATTTGAGATATATTATTGCAAGGCATGCTTTCAACTCGTTCTTCGTTGAATTAATTCCTAACTTATCAAGGATTAACTTATCGTGGCGTTCATCAATTCAAGTAAGCTTGTTGAGTTTTGTAATCACGAGGTCAAGATATTGTTTGCGAATATATTAGTTCTTTGGTTCAATAATTTATTGGGTCAAGCTTTTCAAACGTTGACTCTTAATTTTCTTGGGTTTGATCTAATCTATCATGGGTTTCGTAGCTACAATTACTACATGGGTTCACATCAAAACTCTAATGCAATATGATGTAAAATATGATGGTGAAACATACTATTAAGCCAAGACGCCTGGTCTGATCAGTAGTCTTCAGTGGATCCTCAGGGTCTACAATTCATAACAAACACGAAGTAAGAAAGCATAGAAAAGTAACGGCATTTCTAGCATAACAATATGCAATACCAATGTCTACAGCGGGAAGATGCTAAGGCAATTTTCACAAGTACAATATAACTTCTAAAGAAGGAATAATCGTATTTTTGTTGAATAATATCATTTATATAAAAAAAATATGGAAGCACGATTCCTTGATAATTTTCAAACAAAAGCATTGAGAGTCATTAAATAGTAATTTGCACATTTGCAGCTTTTATTAGTTTATAATATAGAAGGCTCCCTACTCGTAATAAAAACATTTTTTTCTGAAATAATGTATCATTTAGAAGACATATGCGACATATGAGAGATGAAACCATCATTTGTAATAGCTCAATAAACAATAATAGGCAAAAGTTCAAGACCTCATGCCATGGATGCAACAAAATAAACCACTACAGAGAATCTGATGTCTTATAAATATTCGCTCAAGCAGACACTACCCAATCCACAAAATCTACCATCAACGTGATGGATGGAAAGAAATATACATTAGAAAAGGATAGAGATGTCTTGATCAGAAACTCAAAGTTATCCAAACAAACAAAAGAAGCTCTTTATGGAATATATATATTGTTGAGATTTTGTAAGATGACAGAACCCCTTTAGATCAAAATAACCAATAGTTCAACAAGGAGCAAACATAATTAACTTGTTAATGTATGGCAAACCGAGATTGAATAACATGTTTCAACAGTGAAAGTAATCTCATTTAACATACTACCTACAAGTATTCCATCAATTTTGGACTACAAAAGATTGAACATGTATTTATTACCTCTAAGAAACTCTGTTGCTTCATCCAACACAAGATTCAACAATTGGTCATATCCTTTTAGTGTACCAGTCACTGAAAGGAAGAATCAAATGTTAACTGAAAGGAAGAATCAAATGTAACTTTCCTAAGTTAAGCTAAAAAGAATCGATGCATCTGGATACCAAACGAAGAAACAAAATATATATCCATCACTATCCAGTGGATATGATCTTGGTACTTTGGCATATATCATGATATGGATAATTGCATTGAAATTTAGTGTGTCAAACCCTAACTATTTGGAGGCTTTCCTTGAAACATGAGAGACAGAGGACTGAACAGATTACACGGAAAATATTTTAACTTCACATATAAACGGCCATAGCGATATTAATATTTATATCGGACGTCTTCAACACTGATAAAGTAGAAATCTTCCCAAAACTCTTCAAAAAGGCGACATGCCTCCATAATCCTAACTCATTAACATCCCCAATACATTTGATTTAACGTTGTCACTTCTTACTAATTTCATTCCGACTCAGTTTTTTAACATTTTCCTAGGACTCTATGGATGAATATGAAAGTGGCCAAAACATCAACCAAATCTAACGGAGAATACCTAGGAGCCAACTTAAAAACATGTGTCTATGATTTCCTTTTTTACCATGGATTACGAATTAATTTAGTCATACTGCAACAAACTTGACCCTGCAAGACTCAAAGGTAAATCGCAAGCACAGATAGAATTAAATTTCTAGCATAAGAAATTTTCCTTTTGACTCAAGAGAAAAAATGGAAAGACAACAAAAAATGATTAAGAAAGTAGGAATAAACTGATGACAGTTGCTTACAAAAGAAAAATATAATCATAAGTCACCGACCTTGTCTTCCACCAGTGAGCTTGACTTGGACACCCTTATCAACAAACTTTGCTAGATCCAACACTGTTTCTTTTCTTCCAGACTGAACAGAAGATTTAAACCTTGTTTGAGCCCCCATTAAAATGTCAAGGAAGCATTTTTTAATATTAGATTGATGGTGAATATATAGTTAAAAAATAAGAAAAAGTTTAGGACTTACGTGTAATATTATTTTCTTTTAAAAAATGTGTGGTTGAAAGAATAGAAAGAAAAAATGTATTTTGTAAAAAATGGGGATTAAACAAGTTATCAACAGCATAAAACACTTGCTTAAAGATACAAACAGAACTAAAGTTACAAGACAGCTAAAATTCCCTATTTTCTTACTCATTTATACCTCTGGAACACCTTAAACTTGAGTTTGCAACATCTAAAAGCGTCTCCTGTGATGCAAATACAAGCAACGAGAGACCACATTTTTTTTTCTTTATTTATAAAATATCCATTTGAGACATTATAATTAATTTAGTTCTTATTAATCACATTGAAATTACACCATAAGATAAAGCAAAAAAAAATCAATGCTTTTACTCTTCAAATCCAAGGTATTATCTAAATACCATTATACATATAAATGTGAGAAAAACAAAGTGTATGTCGTATGTGCCTGAGAGAGAGTACGATACCATGTAGGCAAATCAATGGACTGTAGAAAAGGCCAAAAGATCGGAGCTAGTAAGCGAAAAAGTTAACCTGTAGACAGAAAAGAATTTCTGTAAATTCAGTGTGCTTCGAACATAATATTACGAATTTGCTAAAAATTCTGAGAGCTTACGATCTCAAAGGGGAAGTAGAAAGGGATAGCAGAAAAGAGATTCTTGCCCTAATCTTCTCTGAGTTCTCACTTTTGGGTTTGAGAGTGCGCTCCGGTTCAGGGTAGAGATGGACTTAATTGTTCCAGTGGTCACTCAATCTAAGTCCATGTTTTTATTGGTGAATGGAGTCTAAAATATCGAGTTTTTATCGTTGAATTTAGGTCAATATATTTGATTGCTCACTTAACTTAGGTCATATTTTTTATTGCTCACTGAAATTTAAAATATCGAATTTTGATCACTGAATTTTGAAATATACACTGCGTTACTGATTAGCATAACTGTTGAATTTTAGAAAATATCGAGTTTATATTGAGTAATATAAAATATTTTTCAAAGTTCAGTGAGTAATGTACAATATTTTTTAAAATTCAGTGAATAATGTACAATATTTTTCAAAATTTAGTGGTCAAAACTCGACATTTTAAACTTCAATGAGCAAGCGAAGACGTGGACTTAAGTTCAATGACAAAAACTCTATTATTTAAATTTCGGTGATCAATCAAAAACTTGAACCTAAATTTAGTAACAATTGGAACAATTAACTCGTAGAGATAATTTAATTAATAACTTTGGTATAATTTATTAAGTACTAATTGATATTTAAAAAATTATTCGTTCTTCATCAAACTTTGTTATAAGTTACTATTTGTTCATCAAAATTTAAAAGATTATTCATTGCTTACTAAACTTTATTTAAGATAACACTGAGAAAAATGATATTGATGATTGATGAATAATTTGTTTAAATTTGGATGAGCAACAAATAATGTTTTAAATTTTGATAAACAAGTAGCAAATCATAGCAAATTCAGCAAGCAAAAAGTAATTTTTTAAATCTTTATAAACAAGTAATAATCTATGACAAAGTTATAATATTTGCCTCAGAAAAAATGTGAACTTACTTTTTATCTTGGGAAATTTGCTATTTCATCCTTCATCTTTGTGAAATATAACAAATTTACTCTTCATCTTGTTTTAGCACAATGTATTCCAACACTTCAAGTATGAGCTTGTTTGGGAGTGGTTTTGAGAATTGATTTTTTGATCGTTAAAAGAAAAGTGAGATCCACCTGTGAGAGAAGAAGTCAAATATGACGATTGAAATAGAAAATAACGATCAAAAATTTCAATTTTTGGAGGAAAAAAATTACTCTCAAACAGGCTCTATGTTTCAAAACTCGTATTCCCTCCATTTTTTTTCTTTAAATGAAGAATTTACCCCTTTTCTTAAAATAAACAAAATAAAATAAAGTAATAAAAATTAATAAGAAATTGTAAATGGAATTTCGTAACTTTTAAAAAAGATACAAATAAATTACACTTATAACAATTAGATATATATTAACACATAAAAAAATTGGAAAAACGAAAAATGCAAATTTTCCTTTTACCTTTAAAAATTGGGGGTTTTGGACATCCACCAAGTGTAATATTTAGTGATTTTTTGAGATTGATAATAGGAAAAGTTATGGGAAAATGTGAAATTTTGATTTATTATTATTATTATTATTATTATTTTTTTTTTAATGAGTGCTTGGTAAGTGTGAGGGAAAAATAATTTTTCCAAAAATTCACTTTCAGATAAGAGCTTACTAAATTTATTTTTTTCGCTTTGATCGAGAAAAAAATTGACTCATTAAATAAAATTAGAAAATCGAAAAATGCACATTTTCCTTTTATCTTTAAAATTTTGGGGGGAGGGGGGGGGGGGTGGTGGTTACCAAAGAT